AATATATATAATTTTCAATAAGCTTTAGCTGTAATTATTTCCGTTTTCTTAACTCTAGGGGTCAGAGAATCTTATTTATCATCTATAAAAATGGTGTATCAAGCACTTTAAACCTTTACCTTAGAAAACTCCTATACTCTGCTCTAAGTTATGTACAGCAACAGCATATAATTCATGATATTTGTGGGGAAAAAGTTGTTTTAATGAAAATGCCCCTTAAATATTTGTGTAGCCATAGACCACTTTAATTCCGAAAACCTCTCCTTGTCTTCAGTTTTGGAAGCATAACCTACCTGTCTTCTCAGGCTTTATTCCACTTAAGTTTAGTTTTGTAGTTGCTAAAAGATGCTGTGGTTCTCTTTATTTGCCCTGTAGATTTTCAGATTGTGAACAAAAGCCCAGTTTCACTTCTGATGGTCATCTTCAATAAAGCATAAAACACAGAACCCTGTATTCCATTTTATAGTCTCCATATTTGGCAGAGCACTCTTCTAGAATGGCCTCCCTATTTACACTCTTGCTTCCTGTTTTCAGATGTCACATCTTTTCTGTAGACAGTGCTTACAGCCACATCCCGGAGGGGGCTGATGGCCCCTCACAAGTGACTGCAGTTACAAAGGCCTAGAGGTTGGCTCTAGATGGCTGCCCTGCCCCAGCAGCTTTGCAGAGCCTGCTAGTCAGCCTCCTGGTGCTGACCAGGTTAATTGTTTCTGATCCTGTGTCCAGGTAAGTGAGCTGAGCCGTTCCCCCGTCTGTCTCTGCCTCACGATCAGAGTCCTCCATGCCCTTAACCCAGGTAGATTGTTTAACATGGAAACTCCAGCCTCAAGATCCACAACCCTCTGCTGGCTTTACTGCGCTCCCTGGCCAGGTCATGAGCTGCAATCCCAGAGCCAGGCTTTTAAGATGAGAAAATTAATTCCTACATTTAACCAAAGGTTTTGGAAAGAAAAGCTTTATCTGTAGTTCTGATCTGGTATTTTTAAAAATCTTCAAATGATTTATGTTCAAAATCGGTGATCTGCCCTTCTTACCCTTTTGCTTTAATTAACTTTGGTTTTCCTTACTACTTACTTGTTCCTCCTGAGTTCTCTTACTTTTAAAAAATCAATCTTGAGGTCTTGATGAGGGTATTTCTAATTCCTCTATGTTTTCACTTTTGGATTTCATCTTATTTACTAAATGGGTGATCTTTTTACTTTTTGGAGATGACAAGGGGCCCAGAGGTCCAGCCATTTAGGAGTTGCAGAAGTGGAAGTGCCAGAGGGTTTGTGTGTATATTGGAGGCAGAAGGCCTTGGAGATGGGTGAGAAGGAAACGGGTGCATAGCAGATATGCAGACCGTGTGTGCAACAGAGAAGTCAGTGGTACAGCCTCACGTGTCTTAATTCGGTTGGCCCAGGTGATGTATCACAATAGTTACTTCTAATAATAGTAATGGCTGAGATTTATTGAGAACTTCCTCCACTCCAGGTATGTTGCATGTATTCTTCATTTAACCCTGGACCCTGTGGGCCTTGAAAAAGAAGATACTAAGAAGGGCATCTGGTGGCTAACTGGGTTCAAATTAGTAAAAAATAGCCTAGTATCCATCTCTACACAGAGGTCTCTCATGCAAACTGAGCTTCAGAGATAAGCCTGCACTAAGGCATTGGCCTTCTGTGGCCTTCTGCTGCCTTCTGCGGCCTACTGCACTGAACTACCTTTCTGTACTGTGTCTGTGGGCAGAGCTAGCTTTGTAAAGGAGTTCCTGGGATTGTATTGCATCCAACAGGACTGAGATTTCCTTGTCCAATAGGAGCTGTGCAGTTATAACCCCACATCGTCATCTTCAATGACCAACCAGAGTGCCTCCATTCTGTCCAATCAGGACAGTGCCTTTTGGACCAATCAAACTACGAGGATTTGGAGTCCTCATTTGTATGAGGATGGACCAATTGGGAAACAACAGGGGCAGGGACTTTTCTCTATATAAGTGAGCTTCCCTCTGGCTCTGGCAACCTCTTTCCTTTTCTGTAGGGAAGTGTAGACAGAGTTTCTCTGGTTGGGCTAGAGCTGAAATCCTGAAGGACTCTTGCCACAGCCAAGTGGAGTAGGAGGAGCATACCAGAGCAGAGCTGCCTTGCCCTAGGGCTCCTTCACAGCCATGCTGTTCCACGGCTCTGCTGAATCACAATTGAACTGTTTGCACTGAGTAAAGTTTCCTTCTTCACACTCCAAACTTGGGATTCTATTTGGCATTGAATTGATGACAACCACTTGTTGACAACCCTTAGTGTCCTGCTCCCACAGTCTTGATTTCTCCCCCTAAAACATTTACTTTTTGTTATTATCTACATTTTTACTCTCTGTCCAGGGGTTTGCTCCTCTAGTTCACACACATTTTGTGGAGGGGTACACTTCTCAAAGTTCATGAGCAGATGTTAGAGTGCTTCCTTGTGGTACTTGTCCAAACCTATGTTCAGAATCCTATGTTCTGAATCCTACACAAACAGTGCACACAAATACACATACCCTCCCCTCAAATAAATATAAAACCCGCACATGCCCATAAACTTGTAAACACACATAAGCATGTATAAACTCCCCAATGAACAAACATAAACACAGCAACATACACAAACATACACAACATACACAAACCTGCTTGCTGTCTTGGCCCTGGCAAGTCCCATTTTCCCTGCCCCTCTTCAGAGGCCTGTGCAACATGAGGCTGGAAGGAAGTGAAACGTGCCTTGACAGGAAGTGAAACAGAATGTTGAGCTTTTTTTCTCCTGCTTCTGACACAGCTGTTGAGGGGACTAGGCAAACAGTCTACGGTTTCTGGAGCTGCTCTGAGGTAACTGGGATCCCCTGGGGTGGGGGTCTGGATGGAGCACTGGGCTTGTGAGGTTACCGTAGGTAGCTGGGAAGTTGGGCGCTTAGTCTTCGTTCACCTGGCAGCAGCTGTCCTCTCCCCTCCCCTTTTGGTGGGGTGGAAGAACTTAGGCTTTCTCCACAACAGGTTTTTGAAAATGGTTGTGGTCCCAAGGACATTGACTCAGAATCACAAATGCATGATCTGTTCCTTTGTTCTTAGTCTGAAAAGAAAGTATTTTTGTAGAGTTTTCATTCATCCTCTTTTCAAAGAGAAGGAAGATGCGTAAACATAGAAAAAGGGATTTTTCCCCTTATGCTTGACCAAGCTGGTCCTGACCAGTATTAGATAAATTTTGTCTGGCAGGCCAGGAAAAGTCCCCAGATGCTAGGCCACAAAAATACTTTTAGAGTCTTTAGAGAGGATGGAGTGGAGATTTTGGAACTTGGTGGCTTCTGTTATGTGTCACTAGGAAGAAAGAGACAGGGGGCTGGGGCCATTGAGTGGACGGTGCAGCATGGAGGTAGATGGAATGGCAGGCAATGTGGATGTCACTGTCCTCTTGCCTTAGAGATTTCAGTTGCAGGCAAACACTGTAGTCTGAGGAGAGATTCGAGGACTTAATGAAGTTGAAGTGTTCTTCAAAAGTCTGTCTCTCTGGTTTGGGGCTATCTATAGCTCCGACCATAACTGTAAGACTAGAGTAAATGCTAGTCCTGAAAAGAATCTGGGATATAATATATCTCAGTGATTACCAAACTTTCCATTTTTATCAGGTCCCTGCACCTCTATTTACATAATATATTTCTTTAAAATAATTTGCTTAAAAATTTTTTTATTCAACCAGAACAGTGATATTTTGTATCACTGAAGATACTTTGGGAACCACTGATATAGTCTAATTCACTCTTTTTACAGGTGAGCAATCTAAGATCCTTAGACATTAAGTAATTTGCCCAAGGTCTTACAAAGCCATACTAATTTGGGACTGTTCCTGAGGTCTCCTATTTTAAGGTCTTGATTTTTTCCAGTATAATAACATATTATACTTTCTTTCCAGTAAAACATATTATACTTTCAAGTATGCAGAAAGAATTCATAAATGTAATTCAAATAGATAATCATGTAAAGTGCTAAACATAGTGCCTAGTAGGAGACTCAATAAATACAAGTTTCTTTCCTTCCTCCCTTAAATCCCTACTTACTGCCCACCTGGACTAGCCACTCCCTGGAAGCTTTTAGAATCATTTAAATGCTAATATTTTGAAATATCAAGATGATGTATCTTGGTGTCACTGTTGAGTAATTGGCTGTGCTAGGTAGGTATTCAACAAGTCTTTTCAATCTAGAGACACAAGTCTTCAGTTCTGGGACAATTTCTCGTATTTCCTTTATTATCTTATTATTTATTTATATTATTTGTATTATTTTATTTCCTTTTTCTGCCATCTATTTTTTTTTCTTCTGAAATATCTGTTATTTGGGTGTTGAATTTTCTGAACCAATAACCATCTTGTTTTTTTCTCTCCTATTTTTTCATACTTTCTAAAACTTTTTTTCAATTCCATCTTTTAATATTGCTTAGTAAAGTTTTAAAATTTTAGCTTCATATTTTAAGTTTTAAAAGCCCTTTTTCATTTTGTTTATTTTTCTGTTCTTGTTTTATGGATACAATATCTTTTCTTATCTCTGTAAAGATATTTATTACAGTTCTTTTGACTTTTTCTTTTATTTCCTGCACTGTCTCCATTTCCCTTTAGTTCCTTCTCTTGTTTTTTTTAAGTTTCTCTTTCATGTTGGAGCCTTTTTTTTTCATATGCCTTGTGATACTTTGCTCTACGGTTATATTTAAAAGTGAAACACTAAAAATCTGATTGTAATGTCTTGCTCTATGTGTAAGTAGGCCTTCCTGACCAAAAAACTCCACTACAAGGAGTCCTCATGTTAACCTTTTATTTGGGAAACCCCTCCTTATCTGTACTTGGAGTTCTTTTCTCTGGGGTCTCAGAAAAGAAGCCTTCAATACGCTACCTTCTGGTAATGAGAACAGGGTGTGAGAATCTGTAGATTTTCATTTACACACTACCTTTTTTAGACCTATTGAGTCTCCATCTGAGCAATTTCCTCTCTTCCAGGCATCTCAATGTTGATGGGTGGCCCATCTGTGTGGCCAGCCCTGCTCTCTCTGCTTTTGGCAGTGGCGGCGTCTTTTTTCTGCTCAGCCATACCCATAGATGAAGCACGAAATCAGCTGTTGATGAGAGAGAAGACGATGCAATTGGGAGGACAGCTGGTGCTGAAGAAAGAAGAGGAGCTGGCCAATGAGAGACTCATGGCCCTCAAAAAGGCTGAGATGAAGCAGGCCATGGAAACTCAGAAGTTCCCACCCAGCATGCACTTTTTCCAGGCCAAGAATCTCATTGAGAAAAGCGAGGTGTTTAATATCCTGAAGAAGATGCCAAAAGGTAGAGATTCGGAGGGACGATTCTGGGTTTCCTGGGAAGTTAGGAGAAAACTAAACTTGGAGCTGTTATTGTTATTGGAGCTGCTGTTTTAAATGGAGCACAGAGAATGCCACTCAGCTACTCTGTGCCTTGTTCTTCCTGGCAAATGAGGAAAGGTGCTGTTGAAAGGTGGCTGCCGTTTTGCCCTGGAGAACAAAAACCCTGCTTCTGAGGAAACTCAGCCTCAGAGGGAGAGCAGAAAGTGGGCCCTGGGTACCACTGGTCTTCTCTGATAAAGCTGGAAAAGCATCCACCCATAAGACAGTATCCTGGGCTCACAGGATCCTAGTTTTCCCTTCATATCTTCCCTCGCACTCCTTTCTTCTAGCCTTTTTCCAGGGTCTAAGTTACCAAATAAGATACATGAAATAGCATCTTGGATAAACACATTTCTAGTGTATTTCTACAGTATAAACACATTTCTTTGGATAGTAAAATAATTATCCTGCGTATGTAAATAGCGGTTTGCAGCTCACAAGGACTTTACCTTTTAAATTTAATGTTACAAATAGAGATTAAAAAAAATAAAAACTATGAGGTTGGTAAAGTAGCATCCCCAGTTGATGGAGAATGTAAGGTTTAGAGAGGATGACACACCAAAGCTCATACAGCTGGGACACCTGCCAAGGGGCCAATGCCAAGGCCAGGTGTGAAGACGGAGCAAGAAGAACAGAGGGACAGTGTATACTGTGCCTTGAGGAGCATGAGAGTCAAAATTGGTGTCAGGTCTGAAGGACAAGCCTGGGGCCTCAAATGGTAAAACCTGCAGGCCAGAAGCTCAAGTGGAAAGTAATGGGTGGGGTGTTGGGGAGCAGGGTGAAGGGGTCAAGGAAAACTGCAAACATGACTGGGTGGGAGCAGGGACTGAGGCTCATTCTCATTACATCCCTTCATGCAGTGTTGGGTGATAAGGCTAGAAGCTGATGGAGCCTTAACTCAAACCCTGATCTTTTGCTTCCAAGCCTGACACTCTTCCAGCCTACCATGCTGCCTTTAAAGCCAAGGAAGCCTCATTTTTAAACTTGAGCAAAAAAGGCAATGGTCGTCCTCGGGAGACAAAGGCAGCCTAGAAGTCTTCGAGCTGGACAGGGAAGAGTACATTATGTTCAGTTCTGAGGAATGTGGTCAGGCAGAAATCCTGGAGCTTCCCACCACTTCTTGTCCATCTACACTGGGCTCACAGCCCCCGAGCCCTAGAATCTGGACTCAATGCTCAACCTACCCCCTGCTCTTTTTCTTCCCTTTCCAGGGGCTGCTTTGCATGTCCATGACATCAGCATCTCAAGTATGGACTGGCTGGTGAAAAATGTCACCTACAGGCCCCATTGCCATTTCTGTCTCACTCGAAATGGGATCCTGATGTTCAAATTTGCTTACCCAACTCCACCCTCACCAGCAGAATGTTCAGAGTGGATTTTGTTGGAGAAGTATCGAAAGAAGCTATATAATGTCACAGAGTTTGACAACAGGTGAGTAGTGGTTCAGAATGTGTCATGTGCCTATCATAGTTGGGTAGAGTGCTGGTATGTCTCCCTTGGTACACACCCATATGTAAAAATCTGGCCTTAGAAAAGTCAAGAAGTTTTTCTTTTAACTTTACAGGATACTTTACTGCAGAAAGGTATTCAACACCTCTTCTCTCCATGGGAAGTACCTGATATTTAAAATTCAATTTATCAGCAAAAAATATTGACAGCATTACTGTTGTTGCATCAAATGAAATTTGTCTCGATGGTCAATAAGACCAGAAAGAAGAAAAGTTCCCAGCTCCTGGAGCAATGACAGTCTAGCTGGTGGCTAAAACAGCTTGAAAATATGATGGAAAAATTTCCTAACAAACTTGTACAGTAATATTATAAGTAATAATTATTTTAATCACATAATCATCTATAGAGTACTTTCATGAGGTTATTTCCTTTTACAAATAAAAAACATGAAGCTCAGCATGGTTAGGGAAGTTGCCCAAGGCCACACAGTTGGTAAATGGCTAGTTGGGGATATAAACCTGGTCACGTAGGGCCACGTCCAGGGTTATTTCTACCAGACCCACTGTATTAGTCTGCTAGGACTGCCATCACAGAATACCACAGACTGGGTGACTTAAACAACAGAAAGTTATTTTCTCACTGGTCTGGAATCTAGAAGTCCAAGATTAAAGTGTGGGCAGGCTTGGTTTCTCCTGAGGCCTCTCTCCTTGGCTCTCCTCTCTCTGTGCTCTTGTGGCCTTTCCTCTGTGCACATTCATGTCCTGTGTCTCTGAGAAAAATCCTATTTGATTAGGGCCTTACCCTTATGATCTCATTTACCCTCAATCATTTCCTTAAAGCCCCTATCTTTAAATACAGTCACACTGGGGGTTAGGGTTTCAACATATGAATTTGGGGGGGGTGGGGGACAAAATTTGGTGCATATCACTACCCAAAAAGAGCTTGGTCTAGGATGTAAGTACAGCAGGGTCAGATTGGCTAAGCATGCGAAGGGAAGCACGAGAGCCTGGTTGGTGGGAACGTCCTACCTGAGCCGTCTCCTGGTGGGTACAAAGCGGGTCTCATGGCGGAGGCCTCCACTAAAGAGCGCGGATGCATCTCTTTGCCTCTCACCACTGCTCACAATGATGCATCCCAGTTTCCTCTGGGTGGGAGACACAAGGCAGGGCTCCTGCAGATGCCTTGAGGTAATGGCCTGAAGCACGCCTCCTCAACAAACCTCCTTTGTGTTCTGGACAGCCTGCTGAGCAATTTCACTCTGATGACCAAGAACCCCGAAGTGACTTATGCAAACCAAGATATCATCTGGTCTAAGTTTGAAACCATATTCTTTACAATCTCTGGCCTTGTCAACTATGCACCGGTGTTCAGAGACTACATCTTCCGGGGCCTGGAGGAGTTCTACCAGGACAATGTGTTCTACCTGGAGCTCAGAGCCATGCTGTTCCCGGTGAGCCAATCTTTCCTCTCTTCTGTGCTGGCTTGATTTTCAGATCTTACCCTGTAAGTCTTCACAGGTTTCCTACTCTTGTACAGTACAGGACTGAATGATGGCTTCGTCCCCAAGGGGACATGTGCCTTTTCAGGGGCCACCATGAGCAAGGAAACCTGAAATAGACTGGGCTGGCCCTAGCAAAACTGTGAATGTGACCCTCACTGCCTTTTTACCTCCCTTTTCTCATGATCCCAACTTCTCACCTTCTCACAGATACACAGTGCCTCCTGGGTGCTCAGGGTTCCCTGGCCTTGGACTCTGAGCAATGTCTTGTGCCTGGACCTTTTTGACCTGTCTTCTTTCATATCAAAATTTAGCTTCCCCGAGTCCCTCAGGACAATGCTCTTGTTGTGGGACAGGTGAGGAATCTGGTAAATGGATCTAGTTGCATGTAACAGTGGGGATTGGTAAGTTCCTGGAGGCCCTTTCTGTGGAACCCAGTTGCATTTTATCTGGGGTCTTCTATGGGCAATGCTGCCATCACATAGGAACTGGTGAAAAGCCTTGCTCTTTCCCAGGTTTCCCATATGCCTATGACAGTGTCTCCTATCAGAGCTCAGGGCATGGCTCTGGTGGACTGACAGTGCTGGCTGAGGTGCCTATGTGGAAGGTAAGGGTCTTGTGACCCTCTGCCCCCGACTTCCCTTCCTCCTTGGCTGGGGCCCCTTCCTCTCTGCCATCATCTGCTCTTGGTCCAGGCCTTGAGTGGCTTACTGCACAATGCCTTTCCCTTTACCTTCCTCCCCTCTGGGGACTACAGACTCCCTTGCTTCCTGTCTGTTCCACGGCAGGAGCTTCCTCCCTGATTTCTCTTCAAATCATTCTACACTTAACCTTTTCTTCAAGCTTGGTGGAATAAATTTTAACTCTTTGGCATGAAATGAGAGCCTCTCACGTCTAGAGTGTATTCACCACCTCAATGTTATTACTCTTTTTCTAACCAAACCCCTCCCCCTTTCTCACTTCCTCCCTATCTTTTTCTTTTTCTCTCCCTTTCTTCTTTCATGTATTCATTAAATATCTGCAAGCTCCTATTCTGTGTCAGGCACTTGTTAGGTGCTGGGTGTACACATTCATATAGGACAGAACCTATGTCCTTAAGAAGGAAAACAGTTTCTCTCTGGGAGACTCATGGGTAAACAAATACATGTGACTGATATTCTTGCAGATATTAAAGAACCATTACAGGATATAGAGAGAATACAAAGAAAGAAATGGGTTGGTGTTACCTAATGGGTGGGAGAAAAGACTAACTATGCATTATAGAGGAAAGAGAATATTCTAATGAGTCCTGGAAGGTAAGGATGAGTTCACTGAGTCAAAGGACAAAGGTGAGTGAAGGTATTTACATCAGTGGGACTAGCATAAACAAAGGTATAGATTTCTTAGACACTCATTTGAAGCCCATTTGAGACTGTAAGGAGCTCATCATGACTAGAGCCTAAGATTCTAGGGATACTCATTGAAAATAAGACAAGGGAGGTAGACAGAACTAATTATTAATAGTTTGGGCACCATATTAAATGTTGTGTTCTGGAGGCGAAAGGGAGCCACTGGATGGTATTAAGCAAGAGAGTGTGAATACATTTGCAATTTAGGAAGATCACTCTGGCAGCACTGGGGAAAATGGATTACAGTGTAAAGGGTCCCCCTGGTGAAAAAGGGAGAAGATTAGGGACTGGGAGACCAGTAAAGAGACCAGGGAAGCTGCGGGTACAAGATTGTGGAAGACAGAAGCAATGAGAAGGAAGAGATGGATCCAAGCCAGGTGCAGGAGGAAGAATCTGTAGGTCTGGTGATAGACTATACAGGGTGAGACTTCTACTATGTCTTGCTGGCATTTGGCTTGACTTGATTGGTGGTGACTGTTATGGAGATAGAGAATGCAAGAGGAGGAGCAGGGTAGAGAAGGAGAAATGGTCACTTTGCTTTTGAACGTGTAGAGTTGGAGATGCCTATGAAACATCCACATGAAGATGTCCAGGAAGTGATTGGATACATGAGTTTGGAGACCATAGGAGAGTTCTAGCCTGGAAACATAATGCTTGACATTCATCTGCAGAAAGGTGATCATTAAAACTGAGAGAGGATAAGGCTCCCATAGAAGACATTAGATGAGAAGAGGAGTGAGCCAAGAGGGGAGCCCTACAAACATCAAACGAGATGTACAGTTTACAAAGTGGAGTGAAAAGGAGCAGTCACAGAGGTAAGAGGGGACCAGGATAGAGCTCTTCTAGAGGTCAAGGAGAAGGGGGTTTCACATGGCAGGGTGAGGTCGAGAAACGTGTGGCCTGGAAAGAGCGCATTGGATCTGGAAATTAGGAGGTCACCTTTGAGTAGTTTCAATGGTATGCTGAGAAGAGAAGCCTAATTTCCAGGAGTAAAAAAAAAAGGAAATGCACTTGATAAATTTGGGCCAGTTTTGGCTGAATCAAGACTTTGCCTGTGATTTGAGAAAAAGAAAGAGGAAAGTAGCTAGGAGAGAACACTGGGTCCAAGAGGGTCCTTTTTAGGATGGGACTTTGCACACATAAGGAAGGAGCCTGGAGAGGTTAAAATAGAGGGAAGAAAGAGGATAAAAGATGACATGATGTTCCTTAGGACAAAAGAAGAGGTCACTCCAGCAAGCAGGAAGTGAGACTGCCCTTGAACCAGAGAACATTCTCCAAGGGGCAGATACAGACATTGTAAGGATAAGAGTGCAGAACTGAGGGAGGAGGTCCTTCCCGCCTCCCCTTATTTCTATAACAGGAAAGCAAAGATGTTCACTGAGACTAAGGGAAGAGTGGTGGGTGTTTGAGAGAACCTCCTTGGGGGATGGACAGGTTGCTGATCCCAGAAAGATAAACTGATTCCCTAGATCTCGGAAGGCGAGCCTGTGATGGAGACAAGATCTCTGGTAGTTCATGCTGGTGTGTGATTCCCTTCTGTATCACCCTACCCGTAGATATAGAAAATGGTTTAATGGAGCCTAGGTTAGCAGGACAAACGAAGTGGAAGTACTGGGATGAAGACCTGAGGATAATGACAAGAAAGTGTTGGTAGTAATGCATCCAGCTCTCTAGCTGAGACCTGGAGAGCACAGGGAGCACAGGGAGTGGATCAATGAAAAGAGCAGATGCATGGAGACAAGGTGAAAATAAAGGCATAGGAATTTGCAGAGTGGCTGGTAAGGGAGTAAGCAACCTGGAAAGACAGGAGGCAGGGAAGAAACTAGTAAATTTGAGTTTATCAGAAGCGGAGCTGCTTGGGTGATAAGCTCCCAAGCGAGATCCATGAAGTGTCAGTTCAAAGGGATGTGTGTATCCTTGAGATTCAGCATGCCCAAAAAGACCTAAGATGAAATGGCTTCGGAGAATGGCAGGAATTGGGGTGCAGGAGAAGGGGCCTCTCCTAAAGTAAGCTGAGAAAATGGAGTCTTCGGACCACTCTAAGAAAAGGTTAAAGATGACTTTGTTGGTTTGATTTTAAGGAAGGAAGTTTGGAGAGAGTAGAATGGAAAAGATTAGGAAGAGTCTAAAGAAGGGGGACCTATGCAAAATATATATGCTGGCTTTGGGCCAGAAGCAAAGGATGATTGGGATTTCCAGTACTCTGAGATGGACCAACCTCAGATTTACAGACTCCAGCTGATAGAAGCTCAGGCCTCCGTGCTGGAGGGACGCATCTGTTGAGGAGAGAAGTTCTAGGTAAGTAAGGGCTGCTAGATGATTCTTTTGGTCAGTCTATTGAAGTAAACTTTCCCGAGGATTTTTTTGATAGGGGTTTGGGGTTTTGTGGGAGTGGGCTGGATTTCTGAAATTTGGTAGGTTCACGAGAGTTTGAGCTTGTTAAAGGTTCTGAGTGGCTTGGGGAAAGTGACCTTTGGGTACAGTTCTCTTCTATGCTGTATCCAAACTAGTTTGCTCATTTATTCAAATATTTATTGAATATACCAAGGCCATGGTATACCAAGTTTGGTATACCAATATTGAGTATACCAAGTTTGGGGCAGGATCCACAGGATGACATTAATTTGGTTTTGTTACCATATTCCATGGTCTTTATGGGCCCAAAAATTTTATTGTCTATACACCCAGAAGTGATAGGGCTCCAGAGGACTAACACAAATTCATTGACTAAATTCGTAAGAGACAGATATATAAATAAGAAAGTTCAAATGCTGTTTTTCAGAGAAAACTATCAATCAGACTAGACACTTTTGTTTACTGATCGGGAAATTCTCTCCTTGAAGGCAAATCTTAACCTTTTCTGAAGCTAAATTATAGCCATAACGGTATTGGTAAGCCAGAGTCCTAAAAAAGCCCTGTCTCTGAGGCTCTGATTGTCTAAGGGAGTTCATAACAGTGTTCTTCACTTTTGGAAAATCTGATGAAAGCTATCACCCTTTCCCCAGGAGAAAAAAAGAAAGTACTAGACTAAATTGACCATTGAAGACTGTGTTTTCACATGTATCCATATATGTCTATAAAATTTTCCTGGAAATGCAATGTATAGCAACTCTGGATATTTTTGCATACTAAAATTTTAAAATGCTAGGATTCCTAAACCGACTTTACTACCCCAGTTTCATTTAATGGGTTCAAGAACCCTCTAAATAAGGATACACCTGCACCAAGAACCAGTAATTCCAGTTTGTAGGTCGGTGCTCCTTTCTCTTCTTCTGAAACAAAAGCTTCCTTGACTCTCAGCTCTCCCTTTCTCTGCATTCTGGACCCACCTTTTCTCTTAGCTATGTTAATACCTTCCTTGAGGTTAGCTCCAGGCTGGAAGGTGAAGAGCATTTTCTCAGGTGATAGTGTTTTATCTCCACCAGGATCTGATGTTTGTTTGATAGCTTAATTCTGAGTACAGACATGTGTTTCTATATCTGAGTTCTTGGGTAGGAATGAAGCTTACCTTTGCACCTCAATAGAGCTTTCATTAAGTTTTGTGAGTACAGTAAATAAGACCTG